ATTAACATTCATTGGTTAAATAGCTTCGTTCGAATATTGAGTGAGCTCATCCTCAGAAGTTTCTTGCAAAGTGTCTTATGAATTTTGTGAATTAATATAAGAAAGGTCGTTAGGATCCATCCATTTGACCGATTATTATAAGTACCAAATAACAAATAGTTTACAAAATATTATGAAATATGTTATAGTTTATTATATAGAAGTTTATTATCAATACGAAAATTTATTATATTAGTTATGTCATAACAGTTACTATAGTGGTTATATTATAGTCATTAATCGGCTCACGGTTCTAAACCGGCTCCACATAATCAGCTAAGCCGATCGGCTTATGGTTCTGCAGAGCTATTTTGCATCACATTGTCAGTACTGCAGTACACCAAATTAGGTATATCTAATTTTATCTAACGCTAATGTATAAATTTTTATTTATAGAAACTAACTATTCTCAATAAGGTAACTCCATTATTATATACAGAGAAAGTTTCACTAAATTACGCAATTTTCAAATTTAAGTTAGTTTAATTTATTTATTTATTTTTACAGTTAACACATAGTATATAATATATATAAAGTATAATCTCGAGATAATGAAACTTGTTAATTAATATGTATGCATATAAATTCTACCCAACCCTAAACTTGAGTTTCGTTATATCGCGATTATACTGTATTTACTACGAATCTACACTACAGAATATACCTAATATTCTTGATGGGTAGTTCAAAAAAATAATTTCAACAGGAATTGAAATTGGGAAGTAGAAAAAAAAAAAAAGTAAGAATTTTGTAATAAAGAAGGGTAAAAGAAATTTTTTTAACTTAATTATAAAACAACGCCTCGAATTTTTTGTAAAAATTACTACATTATTGTACATGATTAATAAATTAATTTTGTTAAAATCTTAAAACATCCGAAAGTATCGAAAAATTTTTTCATAATGACGTATATTATTCTAAAATATTTTTGATAATTAATTATTATCAAACTACCATGCAAGTTTGTAAAAGAAGGGAGGGGACCGCCGACGAACGAAAAATTTCCTAATTTCATCAACAATCACAATAGCAACTGCAAAAACAAGAGGGAAGAACCAAAATTCCACAGGGATAGGACGAGTATTTAAAGATTGATTAATTCCAGGTGTATATATTATGAAGCAAGCAAGAAGAATAGATCCAACTTGTGCTGCGAAAATATAATAATTTTTCGATTGTTTTTTAACTGGTAAATGTTGGAATAATGATAAATATCTTGTACGAGTTGCAAAAACATTTCCACAAGCTTGCATGACAACTAAACTAACAAATAATACGCATTGTCCTGTGTACATAAATTCATTTAATTGATCTTGTGAATAATTTTTATATCCATCTGACCACTTATCAAAAGCTAATAATAGATCTGATGCCGAAAATCCACCGTATTGCTGCATATAACGGAAATACATAACATGTGAGAAGAATGCTTCAATCATTCCTAAAAAGAGGTATGCGTGAACAAGTAATCTCCAGTCGACAAGATGTGATGTTTTTGGATTTCGAGGTGGACGTGTAAGTACATCTTTTTCGGCTTTTTCATACATAAGAGCGATGGAAGGAAGCATATCAGTCAACACACAAATAGAAATCATCAAAAATGTTGATAATGGTAATGGAACTCCCAAAAATACGTTGACAAGCACGGGAATCAATTCGGACCATGATCCAGCAGGTAATAAATATAGAATGACTTTCTTTAAATTATCAAAAACTAGACGACCACTTTCTAAGGCAACCACTATTGATGAAAAGTTATTGTCTAAAAGTACCATATCCGCAGCTTCTATTGCTACTTCACTTCCACCTCCCATTGCAATACCAATATTAGCAGCTTTCAATGCAGGTGCATCGTTAACACCATCACCAGTTACACCAACGACTGAATCTCTGTTTTGAAATTCTTGAACTATACGTAATTTTTGTTCAGGAGTTGTACGAGCAAATACAATTTCATCATAAGTGATAACTTCATCCCATTGTTTATCAGACAAGGTTGCCACATCAGTTCCGGTTAATAAAAGTGATTTTACTTTTTTAGGACTTTTTTCCCTTGTAGTCGGTTCCTTATGTTCGACAACGATTTCTAATTTATCAGGTAATTGATCGAGATCAGTAACTGTATGTAGACTGTTCTCTGAATCTGTAAAGATGCCAACTTGTTTAGCGATAGAAGCGGCTGTTAAGGAGTAATCACCGGTAACCATAAAGATTCTAATACCAGCACCACGACAAGTTCTTATAACATCAGGAATTTCAGGTCGTGGTGGATCAAGAATACCCATAAGTCCAATGGCAGTTAAATTATAAGAAAGTTGACCAAGAGCTTCCAAGTCACTAGTATCTGAAGGAATTTCACTTTCATTTGTAATAATACGACGACAGAGTAAGATGACACGTGTACCAGCACCACTCCATTCAGCTTGTTTATCTGTTAAAGATTCTCGTGCTTTATCATCAAGTGGTCTTTCAGTACCATCAGGGTCCATAATACGCGTACAACTACCGAGTAACACGTCAGGAGCACCTTTAATTAACACGATATGTTTATTAGTATCATAAACATTGTCATTGTCTTTAGGTTTAATTACACGTAACATCCACTTGTTTTTTGAATTAAATGGTATCTCGGCAATTTTATCAAATTTATCAATTTCTGAATTATCAACAGCATACTTGGTAACAAATCGAAGGACAGCAGAATCAGTACCATCACCCAAAATAACTCTTTCATCAATAGGAAGATCAGCGGTTTTAGGATCAAAAGAAGCAGCATTACAAAGACGACCGACAGAAACTAATTGACAAAATCCTGAAGATTTTGAATTTTTAGCTTGAAGAGATTGTTCTTGATTATATGAAATATTACCGATATGAATTTTATCCACAAACATTCGATTTTGAGTTAACGTCCCAGTCTTATCACTTGCAATAACATTTACACATCCCAAAGTTTCAACTACAGTTAAATTTTTTACTAAAACTTTTTGTCTCGCCATTTTTCTAGCAACCAAAGTGAGAGTTAAAGTCACAGCAATTGGAAGACCTTCAGGTACATAAGCTACAAGTACACCAATCGCATTTACAAGGGCTCCAGGTAAATTAATAAAAGTAGGATAAGAAACTCTTAACCAAGTTGCCCACATGATAAGAGTTATTGCAGCGGTAGTTATAGCCAAACTAGTAACTATTATAACAAATTTAGTAATCTCTTTTTGTAAAATAGAACTTTCTTGACGAGTGTTTGAAGATAATTTAGCAATCTTTCCCATAACAGTATGATCACCAGTGGATACAACTACACCTAAACCTTCACCATTAGTTATGAGAGTACCCATAAGACCAATATTACGTGATTCAAGGTAAATATCATCAGTCATATCAACGCTAGCTCCAATTGGTTTATTCTCACCAGTTAAAACTGATTTATCAAATTTAAGGTCAACTTGATGTATTATACGAACATCAGCAGGTACTTTAGTACCAAGTTTTAAAACAATCAAGTCACCAATAACCAAAGTATATAGAGGGACGGTTTGAGTTTTACCATCACGTATAACTGTAGCAGTAGATGGTAACATACTGTTAATTGATTTCATAACAGCACTGGAAGACCAATCTTGATAACCATTAAAAATAGCTTGAAGGAAGATAACGATTAAGAGAAGTATAGCAAGACCCATATTCGTTTTATCAGGAGGATTTCCAAGAGGTTGCCAGGCGAGCCAACAAATTAAGGAAGCAAACCATAATAAAGGACAGAAACCACCAAACAGGTAACCAAAAATTTTTTTAAAAATTTTTGAATCAGGAGGACTTATAACATTCTTTCCATTACGTTGTAATCTTTGAGCAGCGGTAGAAGAAGTAAGACCCGAAGAGGTATCAGTGTTAAAACGTAAACCAAGTTCATGAATAGATAATTTATGAAAGTCAATTTCAAGTTCTTTTTTTATTCTTGGATCCTTTTCTTTATTTTCTAAAGTTTGAGTACGAGATTCTTCAAGTTTAATTGAAAGGGTTCTGTATTCAATACTGAGTTGAGACTTTCTTCTCTCTAAAGAAATAGGTCTATTCCTAGGAGTAGAAGTATTTTCGGAATCATCTTTCGTAATCTTAAAGTCTAACTTCCTTTCCATCTTTTTGAACTTTTTGAGAGATGATAAATTTTAACAGCTTCATACTTACCTAGGTTTAAATAATAAATTGAAATTATAATAAATTGAAATTATAATAAATTGAATTATAATAAATTGAATTATATAAATTGGATTATAGTTGAATTATAATGGTAATTTTTTTTTATTGCGTCATGGGCAAAAATCTCTTAAAAGATTTTAATATCGATACGCATGATATTGTCCTCGGTGTACGTACTACAGAACTACATATAAATAAAAAAAATTATATTAGGTTGATAAAATTATGTACAGTGCAAACCAATATTAGCCAATTTTAGGGGAGGTTACATGAAACTACAAAAACGGCCGAAATTTGAAAATATCGGATTTGTTTTTGTGACAGATCATTTGAAGATAGGGTCTTGAGATATTCATAATTTGATGAACACAGCCCCTTTTTTCAATTTATACAATTTTAGGAGTGATCGATAATACTAACATTTGTATAAATTCCAGGCCAGGTATATGGTAATAGGTAACAGTACGTACGTACATATCCGATATCGACAATATCTATATTATAATCATCATGGATGAAATTAATGACGGTGATTTGTTAATC